TCTTTTTCTTCATTTTTCACCAAACCCTACCAAATCCAGCGGCTTATTTTTAAATTTGATAAAATTCAACACTAGTTTCGGATAGAACAGATAAAACTGGTTATGTCTGACACAAAAGTTTGCTAAAATTTAGGGTTTTAAATATCAAAAATATGCAACCTTTGAGAAATAGTCGCAGGATTTGGTGCATCCCGACATTATCCCACTGTTTTCTTTGTTTTGTATTGTAAAATAAGTTTATTTGTTAATATTCTAATCGCTTACATATTCTATCACTTCAATGTTGTCTCCAATTTGAATATCGACATAGTCCTCCTGGTTTTCGATCTCATATTTCATCAATATTCCAAAGTTAGTTTGATTGTTCTGTCCTTTTCTTACTTTATTTAATGTAGCAAACAATTGACTTTGTTTCTGACCACTGTTTGGGTCAATATTAACCATTACACATCGATTACAGAGTCCACTTCGTGTAAATACATTTTCTTTACCTATTTTTATTCTTAACCACTGATCTTCGATATAAGGTTGATCTCCACCATCAATAACAATATTTGGACGAAAACGTTCGTGAGTAATGAACTCATCAAGATCTACACTTATTGCACGAACGCTTTGTTCATTTATTAATAAAAATTCGCCTTCGTTTACAAAACTTTTAGCAGACAATTTACGTCGAGCTAAATTTGCATAAACACCAAATACTTGTGTTAACCATTGCTGAACTAACGAACCGTAAGTATAACCAGAATGATTTAATCCACATACGTTCAGATCGAATCCATTACACTCTCCATTCAGAACACCTAAAAATAACTTTCAATCTATAAGTTTATCGTTGGAACCATGTTCATGAAACTGTCGAATCAATCTCACGCACAGACTAATAGAATAACAGTTTTCTTCTGCATCGACATTAGTTACCATGACATGGTAAAAAAACTTGAGAGAGAAGGTTTCTTGTAAATCGTCGTTAAACAACTTTAAACTGATAGTTGATTACCTTCATTGAGATCAATAACCAAATCAGGCATATTTGGTGCACTTATTGTTAATGTATTTAGCTCCAGACTGATTTTTGGTATTAATTTACACATGTTTGAATATCGTTTTTGAGTTAGAGCATAACCATTTTTATCGATAATAGTCCATTCGCGATCGAAATAGAGGGATGATGATCGAGTGGAAGTTGAATGAATTTTCCATTTATCTAATGATATACCAGCACATGATTTTATCGGATAGATATATAATTTTGTTAATTGTGACTTGGAACTTGGACAAAAAGGGATAGATGTTTTACTTTGTCCAATTCCCACACAGTTTAGTATAACATTATTGAGAAACTTTAGCCATTGTCGAACATCTTCATATCGTGATATCCATCCTAAACTTAGTCGAACACAACCCAATGGTTGCAAACCGTTATGAATAACTTCCAAACCGTCTTCATTGCCACAATATGAATTCCCCGATTCCAATTGATCAGCAACATCAGCCATATCCAAACCTCAAATGACACATAAATGAACTTCGTTTCAGATCTACTACTTCTCTATCCATATTTTTTGCAGATAGCTGTTCGATATTAGTTCCATCCACCCAACAGAAAATTCCAAATAATTCATCCCGATTTTATTGAAACACACTTTTTCTCGGGTTATTTTTGTTGTTGATCAAGAAGCGTCCCATGATTTAGAATTTCCAGCAAAGTCCATAACTTTTCGAAAATTAGTTTTTGGTAAGAATACCCTCATTCGATGCCCCTGTCTTCAATACAAAATTAATAGAAAATATTCATGGTCCCATGTATATAGAGCACAGAAGATCGAGGTTTATATGAAAAATGAGCAGTTCTCATGTGATCGATTTGGTTGTATTTTAAAGATCTACGGAGTCGGATGGAGTTAAAGGGAAGGATCATACACCATTTTGTGCACGCCAACGGTATATTAATTGAAAAGTATGGTCTAGCGTTTATGGAAAGACAAGACAAATATTCCAGGAAGAACGTTTTTTTGAATATGCGGTGCATCACACTCGATAAAAATGCTCCACCTCCGCAAGAAAGTAACTTCTGAAGCTAGAATATTGGATTTGTAAGTAATGAAGATATAGACATCGAATGAGGATATCCTTACCCAAAACTAATTTTCAAAAAGTTACGCTAATGTAATCGTAAAGTTTCTCTTGAAAATTTTTTAACCCTTTAGCGTCGGGTTTTTTTCCTTTCAAAAAATATCTGGAACAAATTTTATTGTTATATAGAAGCATTTAGAAGTTAGCATTTAGCAAAGCTTCAACACGCATATATGCGTGCCCCGGCGGCAAAGGATCAATAATAGTTTTTGGTCCATCGGTCTTCCTTAGGCAGATCTATGGAAAGTGGTCTGTGGAGACATATAATAAACTTTGAGCTGAATAAAGCCTGACACTACGGGATTGTAAAGCTCACCACGTTACGTATGTGTAACAAGCTTTAGAACTAAAAATTAAGTTTCTAGAAATATTCTCCTTATGCGGCTTCTACGAACAATGAACGAAAATCTGCGAAACGTTGTGTGATGGTTGTGAAACTTTTTTAGCTAACTCAGTGTGCTTTATAATCTGATAGTGTCAAATTGTGTTCTACTTAAAGCTTATCATAAGCCAATACAAGCCTGGTTTTTGTAAACTTCGTCTACGCACCAAAATAGATACCGAATTTGTAGGCAATCAAAATGGGCGGATCCTCGTTGATTAATAGCCAACGCAAAGTTCTTCCTTTTCTACAGGAGTAATTTAAATTATTTACCTAAATGTCTCTGACAAACTCCTGGTGCACAAAAGCATCCACTTCGCAATTGAATATTATTTGCAGATGCTAATTTTTCGATTAAACGATATCCGATATAATGTCCACTATTATAAAATAAATTAAAAGTTAAAATTGGTCCGTATGTATAACCTTCTCGATTTTCAAGATGCCTTGTATCGTAAAATTTACACAGTGGCTGCTCATTGTCTTTGTATTTCATTAATAACATGACACGATACAAATAATCGATTAAACTTTGAGTATGTTCGTGAATTTTTGAATAAGTGATAGAGGCTAACAGTGTATAACCATATTGCAAAGCTAATACGGATGTAAATGCTACCGTTCCATCTTCAAATTTATCTGCATCTTTTTTATAAACAACAAAATCTTCGGTAGACGACACAAATTCGACGCTTCCACCGCCAAAATACGATTGTTTTCGTAAAATTTTCATTGCTCGTTTAGAAACAATTAATGCACCTACACCCGTAGGATATCCAAAAATTTTATAAAATGACACAAGAAGAAAATCCACAGGGATCTTTTTCAATGAAAATTGAGAAGTAGATAGATATTTGGCTAAATCAACTAGTGTAAACCATTTATAAATTGATGACGGCGGTGTGTGAACAGGAATTGGAAATGACAATGATGAATGAATCTATAAATACAATATTTTTATTGTATTTGTTTATTGTTATAATCATATAAAGAGATTTACATTGACTTACGGATGATTTTTCGACAGAATCAAAAAACGGTTGTAACATTGATAACGGTGGTCTCAAACCATTAAAATTATTTTCTGCTGCCAATGCAAATAGACAATAGACGGACGTCCTTTGACTATTATATTCCTTTAATTTTTCATCATTGGTATTTAGTAATTTTGGTCGACATACACATTGAAGTTTAATAGAATTGTCATCAGTTGCTGTGTTATATATCCATTCAGGATGATCAACTACTGTAAATCTTCCTCCAACTTCTTTGACTCTCTCTCTAATTCCAATAACACTATTATGGGAATCATTCATATAACAATATTCACTTTCACGCGTAAATGGAAATATGTGTGCAAGTAATTGTGCTGCATGAGAGGCATTTAACGTAAATATAACGGAATATTCCGATGAATTTGTGTCAAATTGAGCTAGTATTAATTCTTTTACTTTTGTTATTTCATATTGGGTTGTTGTTGAATGTAATGATAGTCCAGAATGAGGATTAGCGAAAGGAGTTGTAGATAACAAATGAAAATAAGATTCTAATTGAGATCTTGTATATAGAGCAGAACCTGCATGATCCAAATATGTTGTTTCATTTAAACGAGAAAATTCTTTCTCATAAATTGCATCAATCTGACCATCATAACCGTCTAGAAAAAAAATAAGAATGTAAGAAGAAATAAGAAGTCATCAAAAAGCTGAAATTTATTATCGGCTTATTCTTAATTATTTCGTAAAACTGAACATGTGTTTCAAAAAATAAATACACAATCAATTAGAGTATTTCACGCGCTCTTCAGTTGAAACGGAGTCATGCCGAAGGACATGCATCTACCCTACGGAACGTAAGTTACTCGATGCACTTGATTACTTGCTGAGTACTTGAACAAGAACTTGGCAAGTGGTTTTTGCTTTCCAAGTTTTTGTCTAAGTATCATCACTTCAGTCAAGTACATGGACGAGCCAATCACTCTTCTGTTTCCATTGACAAGTTGTATATAAACATCACAATATGAATCAGTATAAACTTAGAAAATCAATTTAGATATTTCTACTAAGTTGAACAAACTTGGTAGCCATGCAGACGTCTACTCTATGAAAGTATGGATGCAGAATACGTACAAAATGCAAAACAAAGATAAATGAAATAAATACTTGGCTGAAGTTTTTCAAAGAAATTTACTTACATTGAGTCACTCAAGTGTTTAGACAAGTGTTTAACAAAGAAATTTATCTCTGAACAAAAGACAAGTGACCGGCTTCATTACGCAAGCGACACACTACTTTGGGCACAAGTACATTCGCTAGGGTATTTAGACATTTTTTATTTCTTAGTTAAGAAGTCAAAACTGACTCGGTACGAACACAACTCACTCGGTTTTCTTCGAGTTAGTAATCGAAGTCGAGCCATGCATAGCCATACTATACTTTCACAATATCACTTCACTATCGCTTCCATTTTTTAGTGTATGGTAGTTTGGAGAAATTTTCACATAGGTAATTCAGTGTCCTTTGTAATCTGACTGTGTCAGATTGTGTTCAGCTTAAAGCTTATCATAAGTCTTTACAGGTCTGATTTCTGTAAATTCGGTCTGAGGACCAAAATAGATACCGAATTCGCCTACGACAAATTTTGTTCTTCTCTAGTGAAGTGAAGTGCTGAGTTTTGTGCTATTGGACAGTCCGCAACATTCTCTATGCAAAGTTCAAAAAATTTGTTTGTTTTTCGATGAGGTAGAGCTCCTCATGGTTTACGAGGATATTACTCGAAACTGATCAGATAAAAAAGGATAAGAAAATAAAGCTGCTGGTTTCAATATCGGAAGCTCTCTCTTGGATGAAATGAGAACAATATCTTACCAAACGGCATTCATTGCACTGCCTGTGCTCACCGGTGTGCACGACATACCTGGCACTAGTGGAATATCGGTGCTAAACCAGTGACAGTAAATGCTGAAATAGCATCGATTTCCAACAATGCCGATATATACATCTGCAAAAAAAGCGACACAGTGAAACTTTTTCTGTTGCTAAAAATCAGTGCCGTATGGGTAGTAAGGGGATATCAGCTATATCCCGATCATGGTAGAAAAAACATTAATTAAACACAAAATTTCGTCGTAAAAACGATTAAGCGAAAAACGACGACGTTATGAAAAAAATTGGCTTCACCATTAGAAAGAGCTCAAAAACCTACATTAGATTCTGTTATGTTTGATTAAAAGTCTGTCAGACATCCGGCAACTAGTTTTTCGAACAAAAATTTTTACGAATACTTCTGTTGCTCAGAATGGGATATATACTCTTGATCTAGTCGCTTTCCGCACTGACCGTCTTTCTCTATTTCTTTCTTTTCGATAAACGCATATATTGAAACACATATTTCTTTTCTGATGCGTAGACAATATAATATATATATATACAATTATATTGTGCTATATATTGCTTATAAGCACACGTGCTTTCTGTTTAAGGGGGAATTTTCGAACTATTGATTCGTACATATAAACTACCTTATGTTTTTGATAAGTGAATCACAACTTGCTGTATCTTTCAAAATGCGTAACAGTCATGATGCTAACATTTTGAAGACTTCAAAAGAATATCATCATTCTAACGGTTGCGTCGTCATTCATACTCATATTGCCTGCCACGGCAATACCCCTTTCAGACTAATTAGATTTGATGAAAACATGTTAACGTGAAAGTAAGAAATTACAATAAACAACAAAGTTTTTTTGATCGGGATATAATTTCAGACTATATCCCGTTTGGAATATTAAAAAAAAGTTTCTTTAAAAGGATATCCAGATCGGGATATACATCTCGATTGAGATGTACTTTCTATTTCTTTTTTTTCGTTAAATTTTTTTTTTTGTAGGATAATCAAGGGGATTCGTGAATGCAGTTGTTTCGAAATAAGTATTTTATCTGAAAATTCTAGTACAGGATAGCTTCAAGTACGCACTGGTTCTAGAACTGGTGTTCAAGCATCCAGAAAAACTGTTATAACTTGATTATTAAGAGTTTCTCAGCGCTGCTAAACATTTCATTTTGTAGAAAAATGTTCACACTACAAAAGTTATCATTCAGAAGATTTTTAAGATTAATTGTGTTGAAAAGAGAAGCCTTTCAAAACACAGTAAGTGTTGAAACTGTTGCCGAACAGTTCTACTGTTTAGATGGATCCTATTTTCAATAATATTAACTTTAGAATTCTTTTTAAAGGATAAATTTTGTAGTGTGAACATTTCTCTACAAAATGAAATGTTCCACAACGCTGAGCGACTCTTAGTAACCGACTTATAACAGTTATCCTGGATATCTAAACACCAGTCTGGGACTGGTATCACCTACATTCATGCAAAAGAATAACATAATATAGAAAGTTTTATTCATTTTATATTTAATATTTGATCTGCATAATTCAACAATATTCTAACTCGACTACAGAATCCAATTGAGATCGAGTTGCAGGTCTCTACACTGAAGGCATTCTGATTGGGAGAAGGTCGAAACTTTTGCTGATGCTATACAACAGTGCTGAAAGTTCTCTTAAGTATCGAAAGGTTTCATGATGAAAATAATTAAGGCAACATCTATATAGTACCGGCTTTCTCTAACATTTTTGGTTCACTTGTTAAAAGTATATTTGCGGATATTTTTCTGTGCTACAATATATCGACGTAAACTTTTACATATCAATGAAAAGAGTCAAAAATGAGCTGTAAACTGCTGCAAAAATTTGTCGAGAAAACGCTGAGCAATAGAGAGAAATTAATCATGTAAATTTGTTGATAACATCTATCAAAAGTTTCTGCTTTTTAAGAATCAATGTTGGCTTCATCCAAGTTCACATTATTTAACTTACATGTTGAATATTGTTTCAAAAATTCTTCCTTATTCATGTAATTAATATTTGATTCCATGGCTTTCCTTGCCCATAAAACTTTTGACGTATAAAAAGACCTTCTAAGAAATGCGGATACATTCACTCATGTTGTTCTAGTATTTATCTCGCACATTCTTTTCTTTTCTTCTTCAATACGCAATTATTTTCATTTGCTTCGCCTAATTTACCTTTTTTCGTTGTTTTATCATAAGGTTGAGAACAAGCACGATAGTGATGTTTATTCACTGAAGAATGATTCCGAAATTGGCTTATAATCAACCGATAATACAAGCCTAAGATCAATCGGTGCCTTTAATTATGATAATACGTGTGCTAGCTCTTTCACCTGACTGAACCAATTTGCATTAGTCTCGTATCTTAATTGCTTGATGCTTTTTTAAGTCCAAAATTTGAAAAAGTCTCATTAACTTGCAAAAAGATATTTTTCTAACCACAAATCTAGGCCGAATATATAATATATAAATTAGACAACATATAACATGCCGCTAAACTAATATTTATTACTATATTCGATGTAAACGTTGCACGTCAGAATCCATTGGAGAATCGGACAATGCAATTACAACCATCCCAGGTCGACCAAAACGGATATCCGTTACAGACTGTCTACTGTACGCAGGAATACGGACCGTAACATCATTAAAGTAGAGCCGTATACGGCCCTATTTTAATGACGTTACGGGCCGTATTCCAGTAGACGGTCCGTACATGGACCGTATCGTTCGACCTGGACAGTCTTAAATAAAGACAATGTCACATGGAGAAAGACTGATTATGAACAAGTTGAAAATAAGCACAGTTTATTATAAAAGATCCCTTAGTCGGAGGAAATGGTCATAAGCGTGTAATATCATTTTCTATTCTAGAAAATAAGTGGCTTGTGTTTAGTGTTAGATCACACCTGACGCATATAACACATACATAGTAAATACACACACTCTTTATAGTAAATACTTACATACACACAATCGTCGTATTTTCTCTTTCTGATATATTTTGATAAGAATAAAAATAAACACAAACTATTAGAACTTTAGCGTACAGCGCTTTATCTTCTTTTTAATGCAGACATCGGTATGTGGGACATAGTGCGCAGCTTATTTTATTATACCCTTTTCTTTTATCATTTTATTATCGCTCTTTTCTATACAATATTGAATTCTCTTAGTACCGAATTTAGTATTCTCTTAGAATTCGATTAGATACCGTATAAAACTACGTCGATAAACTCGCTCGGGTGTGCTTCTAAATGTTAAATATAATATATTTTCATTATGTTACTCATTGGAAGTGAAATTCTGTTCTTAACCCTTTACCCCCCTCCCTCATTGGTCACTGGAATAACCATTTGTAGATCGATTGCAAAAAATTAAGGAAGCATGGAATTCAAAAACCTTAAAAGTATTTTTTGTAGTAAAGTTCTTGAGCTATCGATAGATAAAAAGAATATTTCGTTTCATCGCTTCGTCTCCGAAATATGAACCTTACAAATCGATAATTTTGAAAAAATATAAAAAATTGAATTTTTTAAAACAAATTTTTCCCTGTCTTCAGACAATAGAGATTTCAGGGGTGTGTTGCGTAACTTATATCGACGAAAATGTCTACTTGTCAGTTGGCCGCGTTTCGAAAGTTTTACGATAACTTGGCGAATAAGAGACGGTAAGGCACAAGATGGACCCTGAAGCCATAAGTGAAGGGAATGGCGAATCTCGTGACTAAATTTTTTGTAAAGCTTATCATATGATAAGTTGAGATAATATTTATCAGGGAATTAATGTCTTCGATAGATTTCCCTTTTGTCCACTCAACGCCGTCATAAAAGGGAAAAAAAGTAGGATTTTTCAAGTCGTTCAACCCCCCCTCCTTTATCCCATAATCATTGGAGTAGCCAAACTACCTTGCACAAAGGATGTACGGGGGGTAAACGGTTAAGTAAAAGTGTCTAAACATCTATTTCTTCAACATTTTGATAACCCAGTTCTGAATTAGTGAATTAGTTGTACAATTGTAAATTGAATAGTTTAAAGTTATCTGTCATTAGGATTTGAGTCCGTGTTTACACACTATTTCGTTTATTCTCAAAAGACACTAGAGAAAAAAGATATTTTTTTAGAACTACGGACAAATGTCTAGAATTTAAAACCAATTATAGATTTATTTATAGAAACATCTTTGTGTATGTTCAGTTCTACTTTTATGCTGGTGATGGGGGTAATGTCAACAATTTAATGGTAACATGTTCATCTCGACGTTGCAATAATATTTCACCTTTAGATGTAGATAGTCATGTTTACGAGCACTTAATAACACACCAACTAATTTATCCGATATATTTGAATATAACTGAAATAAGAATAAATAATCATTAACAATAAAATGTTGATTATAACTTAGACATACTAAATGTGACATAAATACCATATAATTTGCGACATACCTCGAATAAACCTCCAAATTTAATTTCCATCGATTAATCGTTCTGTTTTTGTCCATATTCTTTAATCATTAAACATAACTGTTTCATTTCTTCAAGTAAGTGTTCTTGAACCTTTTTCACCGAATGTCCATGACTACGAAATAGACATGTTCCACTTAATGAATGTGATAACAGTATAAAAATAATTCCTAATTTACATCGTTGCTAATTTACATTCCAATTTATCATCGTTGTATGACGGTGATGTATTTGTATTTACTTTTTCTTGAAATTTATTAATTCTACTAGAAAGATGATTTTTTTTCTTATCTGAACGTTTTATACAACCTTTATTCTATTCCATTATTTTCATATACACAAATGAATGTTTTTAGAAGGTTTTATATGTTTCTAATAGATCCAACATCAGAGAATCTATTCATATGATGAAAAAAAATATTTATGTTGTTCTCCATTTTCTCAAAAGGCTCATATATTTGACATTTGTCCATAGAGGAAGAATACATTAGGAATGGAA